GCCAGACCCCTTTCACACCCTGGGATGATGATGATGATGTATGTTCTGGACTGCATTGCAACATTGATTGATCGGATCATTGGTATCTAAGTCTTCCATTTGCGCCATCCTGTACTTTGCATCGAGAGGTCGGTTCTTGTTCTGGTCTGCACATTACAGTATGCAACAGTAATACTCATCTGCAGAATCAATCATCCGATGGATGGACACATGCAGGAATGCACGCAGACACGAACGCACCAATGCGCACACACGCAAACGAATGCACGGATGCAAACAAACAAACAAACAAACAGTGTGTAACAACTCACCTGCCGAATCAATCATCCGATGGATGGATGGATGCATGGATGGATGGATGGATGGATGGATGGATGGATGGATGATGGATAGATGGATGCATGGATGAATGGCGGATGGATAGATGGATGGATGGACGAACCCACACACACACACAAATGCACAAACACACCCACGGACGAATGCAACAACACATGCGCGCACGAACACACACACACACGAAAGCATGCACGCACGCACGCATGAATGCACGAACGAATAACCAAACGACCAAACAGTGTGTAACAACTCACCTGCCGAGGCTGCCAAATGGGTGGATGGATGGATGGATGGATGGATGGATTTTTTCTGTTGGAAATCCCCCCTCGCCCGGAAGTTTGAGCAAGATAATTGTGAGATATCATTTTCAGAGGATATCTTACTGCTCTTGACAGAATTTAAGGAGCTGCAAGGATGTTCAGTTTTTGAAGGAATGCGTTCGCCAATTTTTGCGAAAAATGTTTTTTTTATAGTTATATAATATATTTATGTAGTGATTCCTATTGAATAGTATTCATCAATTCTTGCCAGAGGAATCTGTTTGCCACAAAATGTGAAGATCTGGAAGATCTGGAAGCTTAGAGAAGGTGCCTGGGGATCATATTTTTGCCTTTCACAAAAGCCAGATGTCTGTTCCAGCACTTGGGTTTAAGCTTTAAACAGCTTGTTGAAACAGACCACTCTGCCAAATGGGCAAGAGTGGAAAGAAGCTTGGAAAAGAATAAGGAGAAGCAAATATTAGATAGAACTGAACAAATTAAGGACCCAAATAATTCAAAGAGGAGGGGGAAGGGGGGGGGAGAGGGGGGAGTGGTGTAGATATTGCCAAGTTTAGATTTATGGAGGGGAGAGACAAACTGTGAAAGGTCTGACACAGTAGTTCCACAAAGGTTATCGTCGGCCTCGCCGTAGCCGCGGAGGATGTCGGCACTGTTGGTGCCGGAATAAGTAGAAAATGTCGGCCTCGAAGTAGCCGGTGGGTCTCAGCAGCCTGCTTCCGTCTTGCAAACAACTGTCAGTCGAAACAGGACAGCGAGGAAACCAACAACTATGAACAGAATCTATGTAGCCCTCCTTCTTTTGACTTGCCAGTGGAAAAGGAGCCGGACTGACAATCTGGCAGGCACAAGTGGAAAGCCAGGTGGGCGAGTGGAAAGCCAGGTGGCCGAGTGGAAATCCTGACGTTCTGCAGTATCCGCATATCAATGGTTTGTTGCGAGTGGAAAGCCAGGTGGGCGACAACACAACCGACAAGGCACAGCAGGTCACAACAAAAGCCGGGACCAGGCGGACGGGCAAGTGGGCAAAGGAGGCAGGGAGCAAAGCATCAAGACAAGTAACCATCAAACAAGCTGGCAGGCGCACAGGTGACACGTCAACCAAGCAAGTATCAACAAGGCAAGCAAGAGGGAAGGCAGGCAGCAGCACTAGCTAAGGTGAGGAAAGCGGGCAGGCAATCAGCAATGCCACACAGCAGACAAGACAGGTGGATGAGTGCGGTGAAGTAGACTGAAAGTAAAGCAGGGGGCAGGTGAACTGGCAAAAAGGCAGGAAGCAAAGCAACAGGGAAAACAGAGCCTTGTCTCCATGAAACAGTCAATCCCTTCCCTTGAGTGCAATCAATGCTGTTTCCTCTGTACGGTGAGATCGAACTTGCGGAATGATATGTGGTGGGGAAGCTGGAGCTAATTTCCAGCAGGTGAAGCTCCCAAACCACGAGATTGGGGCTCTCTGTTCTTGTCAAAAAAAAAAAAAAAAAAAAAAAAAAAGACCACAGCCAGATGAAAGTCAAGCCTGCAAGCGGGCAGCGGGGCGGTGGAGCACAGCAACCAAGCAAGCGGGTGGCAGGGCAAGGGAGGCAATCAGGCAGGCAAGCGACAAGACCCAGCAGCAGAGTGGCAAGACAAAACAGAGAAGCGGCTGAGCAGCATGGCGAAGCGAAGCAAGCAAGGAGTAGAACATGCGGCAACACAACACAAGTGGATGGGCAGCCACGCAGCAGCACAGCACAGCACTCGCAAGGCAATCTACACATACAGCAAGGACCAAAGCAGATCATCACCGTCTCACAGCATATTAAGTAGAACTGTACAGAGCGTAGGTTCACGGCGGCATAAATATCAGAAGCAGGTCTACCCGCTGAGGCAAGCAGAAGGTCAGGCAATCAGACAGCGGGGCAAGGGTGAGAACAGGGATAAAGACTATTGAGGCTTTGAGTTCCGCCAGCTGGCAGACGAGGACAAGGTGGGGTTAGGGTGGGGATTGCAGACCAGGAACAGGGGAGGGGGGGGGACCACTCTATTAAAGATCACGGGCAGAACTGGTGCCGGCGGCTCGATGATGTAATACAGGATTGGTTTTGGGTTGGGACTGAAGAGGTGGCTACCTGTTCAGGGTACAGCCACCGGGTTGGGTTGTCGCATTGCGACCACGGGGTTGGGTAGTCGCATTGCGACCACGGGGTTGGGTCGTCACGCCGTTAATCCCCAGTAACACGGGCAATCAATGCTCGCAGGCTTACACAGTGAAGTTTGACCTTTGAAAGTCACAAAAAAAAAAGATAAAAAAAAAGGGTTATGCCAAACCATCAAAAGGCAGGAAGTCGATCTGGCAAATGTTTGTTGCCACCAGCACACAGGCGTCTTGAAGACGGCAGCCCCCCTAGCAGAACAGTGTTGCAGGCACTCCTAACAAACAGGCACTGAGTATCTTTAAAGATGCTGCATTTAGACACTGAAGAGAACACGCGAAAAAGCTAGAATGTGCACACAGTAGACAACATAAAGGAAGTACTTTAAGTGTGTGTGTGTGTCTTTCCCTTGAGCTCCGGGAAGAGAAATGCGACGATAAATTACGTAGTTTGTGTAGTTTTTAGGTTGTTGCGATGACACATGACATGGTATTTGTACATTTAAGGGTGATATATTCTGCTTTATTATTCCTCCTCTATGTCCTCAAGACCTGGTAAGTAAAGCAGCTGCACATCGAAAACGACAGCCTGAGGGCTATTTGCTGTCACATGAGGGCGGCGAGGCGCTGATGCTAGTCCCTTGGGGAAGGCAAGATTTCCGGGGATGTACAGTCGCCGCTTGCCGCCCACTTTCATGGACTGCATGCCCTCGTCGAGTCCAGCTATCACTTGCCCAGCACCTTGATGGATAATGTACGGCATTTCCCTTCTCAGCAAGCTGTCGAACACTTTCCATCTGGCAACATGTCCACATAATGTGCAGCCACTTGGAAGCCGATCGGTGGCTGGGGACCCTTGCCCACGACAATGTCCTTAAACTGGAGTCCAGACTCCATGGTCACGTTCGCATTCCCTGTTGCACAGTCCGATGTCCTGATCGTCCGTTGGCGGCAGAGAAGCAGCCATAGCCATTCCATCAGTATGGTTCCGGACAACGAACAGCCCCGTCCCAGATGCCCCCATCAACCCGATGGTTGCCAGAACAGCTAACAAGGACAGAAGTGACCTGCGGCTCGTTGGCTCCCCGACTTCGTGCATTGGAGACGAAGATGCCCATGTCGATGACAATGAAGACGGCGGCTGTGACTGCGAAAATGTAGCAGGAATAGAATGCCCTGCTGTCGTGACTGATTCTCTGTCACATTTCGCACCAGCCTAGGGAGTGATTACATGGCCGGCGGTCGAAGGCCTTCATGCGGCCAATGGAGCTGCACTCCCTCTCCTGTGAGCTGTCCCTAACTTGGCCGCCTTTTGCACAATGGCACGAGAAGTGCCCACTTTCCTGCCGCTGCACCTCTCACCCACATGCAACGACTTGGACCCAATGACTAAGGTCTTCACTCGAATAGAACGCCCGGTAATTATCGCCGTATCTGGGCTGAATGTTGTGCCAAATACAGTTATAATGACCAGGCGTTCTATTCGGGTGAAGACGGTAGTGATCTCTCGACAGCCACCGTTACTACAGCGCCGCACACAGCGGGACTCGCCGCCGCCACTACCACCAGGTGGCGAGATGGGGCCAACAGCCACGGGTCGATCAGAGATGGAACCAATCACGATCTTCCCACCTGTTCAATTACGAGGTTGGTGGCTGCTTCATAAGTAGAGAGGCAACCAATCGCTCCTCGAGCACGACAAGCATGTGACCCTGTGAACACAAAATTTGAATAGAGAACGATAGAAAAGTGCAGCCTGATGTTTCAGAGAAAAGATCGAACAGCAATAATTGTATGTAACCCAAACAGACAACAGAATAGCAATCAAAGAAAACARTRCATGGAAATAAAATAAACGGAGGTACATGGAAAACAAACAGCCTCTCTCTCTCTCTCTCTCTCTCTCTCTCTCTCTCTCTCTCTCTCTCTCTCTCTCTCTCTCTCTTCCGGGACACCTGGAGGTGTTCACCCAACTTCACTGAGGCATTGGTGATCTATGGACCTCACACAGCACTCTGGATGTAGTTATTGAACTACATATGCATGCCGGATATGCCAAAACAAACACACAACACACCCTCGTCGTGACTGCATGGGACCAGAAAGACAACTTGACAGACCTTGTATAACATCCCAAAGGCAATGCATCTGGACATTCAAAATGCTCGATCAGTCCGAACGTATCTAGTCCACAATGCGGTCCAGATACCTGTAGAATGTTAAGTAGTGGAGCAAGACTTTTTTTTTGAAGAATGCCAGCTGCGGTTACTAGGTCGGGTGGTATGAGCATTCCCCCCTTAGTAGAGCCTGTTGCTGGCCTCTCCGTCTATTACAGTGGGCCAAGACCCTTGTTTCTTTTTTTTTGCACAAATCAGGCCTCGCCGAGTAGGAGGGGTGATACGACTAGCCCCTGCTACTAGGATGGCGCCGGGTGCTCCATTCTATTGGCTGGGAGCCTCACCTGCTCGAAACGGGGTCCAGCGTGTGCAGGTGTCATTTTGACATGGACACATGGCGATTGGCCTGGATTTTTTTTTTTTTTTAAACGGGCCCAGTGTCCAAGGCTGATATTGATATTTGAGAAAATTGAGGCCTGGGTCCTGACAGTCTACCTGGAGTAACCGGACAGAACATGCTGAGAACCGGGCCCAGCGCCCCTCAGATGATGATGATGATGATGATAATGAGAATGACGATAATGCAAAAGAGAATGATGAGCAACTGATTGGAGATAATTACTAAATACTATATGAAATCAGGATGTTCATCTGCTTAGAACTCAGCTTCTTTCCTCTCCCCAGTTCCTGGTATCCATACTAATTCAGCCAATCTCATTCTGAAGCTACGTTGTGAAATATAGCCATTTGTTACATGCTGCGCCTGAAACGAGGGCCATTTTCAGGCCCTGTGTTGTTTTCAGCCTAAAAGCCTGAAAACAAGGGCCTACAGGCCCTGTGTCGTTTTCAGCCTAAAAGCCTGAAAACAAGGGCCTACAGGCCCTGTGTCGTTTTCAGCCTGAAAGCCTGAAAACAAGGGCCTACAGGCCCTGTGTCGTTTCAGCCTAAAACAGGGCCCTCCAGGCCCTGAGTCTTTTCAGCCTGAAACGGAGGGCCATTTTCAGGCCCTCATAAGATCGACCTGCCCTGAAACTCAGGCACCAGACCAGGGTTTTAGCACAGGCCATTTGGGCTTGTTTTAAAGACAACCTTTGTTTGCGCTTCAACGGCAGGGTCTGGCTCATTTCGGCATTGGCAAGAGCAGCCTCCTGGACAGGCCAGCACTATACAAGACTAGCCCGCCCTGCAGGCTGCAGGTAGTTCATAGGGACTTCCCAGGCACTTCACGTGCAGTTCAGGAGGCAGGAGGTAGTCTTCAGGATTCGGCAGCAGCACTCTGGCGGAGCGCTGCAGTAGTAGTAGTAGCGTTAGCAGTAGTCTTCAGCGCTGGGCACTATTAGGAGCTAGAGTAGCACTGGAGAGAGATAGAGATTGGGCTGAGGCCAGGGGGACTTACCTGCAGCGCCATAGCTCCAGCTCGTCGTCGAGGTACCTGCGGCACAACGCCATCTTCAGAGGTTAGTACCTGGCACATGAGAGAGAGAGAGAGAGAGAGAGAGAGAGAGAGAGAGAGAGAGAGAGAGAGAGAGAGAGAGAGNGAGAGAGAGAGAGAGAGAGAGAGAGAGAGAGAGAGAGAGAGAGAGAGAGTTAGAGTTCTACTTCTTCCTCTTCTCAGTCCACCATCTCCCCCTAACCCTCTCGCTACCTGACTTCACTGCATCAGCAGACTATGAGAGAGAGGGATTGGTGACATTTGGATCCAGACTCGACATTGGGCTTCAGACATTTGACGAGGGATTATCTGGGACTTGTACCGAAGACCATTCCCATCTCCCCCCTCTTCTTCATCTGATGTAGCGGACCCACCGGGTGTGGTGCTCCGCTAGAGATGACGATGGAGATGGAGGATGAGGGAGGAGCGACACAACACAGCGCAGCTCCCACGCAGACTCCAACACACGTACTCCAAATCGTGCAAGTGTAGAATGATCTCGAAAACAGACAATGGCTGGGTATACCCCAGCGGACTGACGGGACTTGACTGGACTGGCTGGTACGGACAGAGGTACCAGCCTGGACTGGACTGCCCCGAATAAAACACAGGCCTATGAGAACAGGCCAAGGGGCTGGTCTCACAGGCAACCAGAGGTCCGCTACACGATCCTCGGCCTGTGATGGATCACGTAGATACAAGCACGCTTCCGCCAAAAAGCGAAACTCTACCAAAGGAAAAGAAACCTGAGTAGTCTAGGATGCGGAGCAAGCTCCATGCTGAGTCCATGCGATGCAACCTAGGATAGAGAATGTCTCAAAACAACAATGTCACAACTAACAGCCTAAGTGAAAGCAGAAGCAACTAACTAGCATACAATGTCTCAAAACAGCAATGTCACAGCTAACAGCCTAAGTGAAAGCAGAAGCAACTAACTAGCGTACATGTCCTAGGAAACCAGAAGCAACTAACTAGCATACATGTCCTAGGAAAGCAGAAAGAAGTGACAACTAGATCCTAGAATTTTGGAGGCAGTAGCCTCAGTCTGGGAACAACTGACTAGTGTATAAATCCTAAGAACAGCAAAAGCAGAACAGCTAAATCCTAAAAATGTCAGAGGCACGAAATCTTGTGTTCGTATGATTTAAAAAAAAAAAGAACATTTGAAAAAAATTGTCTGGGTTGGTATATATACAAATTTCCTTTTTTGATATTTTATATTTGTTAATCCATTTTGGTAAAGTAGCTATCAAAGATTTGAAAAACAATTGATTGTGCACAAGCTGCGCAGTAGCCTCAGTCTGAAAGCAACAAGCAACAACAAGTCTACCATATGCCACAGGAGGAGTGTGTCACAAACCAAAGGGTGGGATGGTCTCTGAGGGTGGCGAATGCAGCCTAGGGGTCGATAACTCCTAAGGGCCTCCACACATAGTGACAGGGAGAACACATGTCATCAGGCTCAATGAGGGTAGGGGACTGGGAACAAACAGAACCAATGACCCTAACAGATAGACCATCAGGGCAGGTAATGCTCGACTAAAGGGGTGACCGCTATGGAGGGTCGACCATGCAAGGGAACAAGGGAGCCTGGTATACTGGGCGCATCTAGATGAAGCATGCGAGGCTGTCTAACTAGGGCGTGAGGGCCGACAGAGGGTAGGAAGGTGATGGGTAAGGGAATCATGCAAATGACTCCTAAGGTGAGGGAAGTCAGAGCTAGATCCGTAAGTTGGGAAGCCAGGGCAACGCTACGGTTCCGATGCCTATGCGTATACCAAGGGAGAGCCCAACTCAGAGGAACCCGGCTAAAGGGAGATCATCATGCGACACAAGCAGGGTACTGTACAGGGTAAAATGGTAAGGGAGTGATGACGTCTGAAGTAGGCAGAGCTGATCGTGACGAAGTCCATAAAGCTGCCGATGACGTCCACGATGAGAAGTCTGGAATGTCGTCGAGAAAGAGCCGCAACGTCAACGAGCTGAAGTAGCAAAACTGGAGTGGATGGAGTACTGAGAAGTCAAAGACGTGGGAAGGTAAGTCAGAGTCAATTGTCGTATCGAGCAGGACGACGACGAGTGCGCTGTGGACGCTCAAAAGCATCCGGTTGCTGCTGAAGGTCTGCCTCAGAAGGAGCAGGCTCGACTTCAGCGGTCTCCTCAGCCGGGGGAGAAGGAGGAGTGAACCCATCACGACAAGCACGGTCAGAGGCACGCACCAACATGCGAGCGTGCTGCAAGTGCTCGAGGGACTCCCAAGTAGCCTCCTCATCAGGGTAACCCTTCCAACGTACGAGATACTCGACATGGGGAGGGTTGTCGTCGGTGACTCAGCGACCAATGATGTCTGAAACGAGGAAGTCCTCGTGGCCGTCCACCATGATGGGTGGACGGCGCTCGTATGGTCGTCCGACGAAACGCTCAGACGGTCTGCGGTAAGGACGCAGTAACGAGACGTGGTACACATCGTGCACACGAGCCTGTCGTAGGTAGTCGGGCAGCTTCACACGGAAGCTGACCGGGCTAGATGCCGTATCAGAACTGACGGCCTGGAGAATGCGGCATGGGCCAAAGAAGCGACGCCGAAACTTGCGAAGCGTGTCCGCTTCAAGCTGTAAGTGGCGGGCGTCGATAAGCACATCATCACCAACTTTGAATGGATGATTCATCCTCGATCGGTTCACACGTGCTGCCATGCGAGTCTGGGAGGCGGCTATGTGCTCATGTGCGGTCCTCATGATCGACGTCATGTGTGCAACCCAATCATCCAGCGCGGGACAATTCGTTTCGGGGTGCATCTGTGACGTTCGAAGGAAGTCCGCAGGAACATGAGGGTGATAGCCGAGGTCGCAATAGTAAGGCGACATCCCCGTGGCTGGCGAGACGGCATGGTTGTAGGCTATCTCCGCGTGGGCAAGATGGAGATCCCACTGCTGGTCGTCACGAATGATCTTTCGGAGAATATCTCCGAGAGTCCTGTTCGTGATCTCCATCTGACCATCAGTCTGAGGATGGTAAGACGAGGAGAAGCGGAGCTGAGTGCCGTATACCTCGTGGAACCGTCGTCAGAATCGACTGGTAAAGTGCGGGTCACGGTCAGATATGATGCTCAGAGGTAAGCCGTGGTCACGCACGACTCGTTCAAACACGATGTCGGCGACCTCACGTGCACTGATGGCATAGCGGCACGGAATAAAGCGTGCACGCTTCATGAAGCGGTCGACGACGACCAGGATAGCATCATGACCGCGGGGGGTCGGAGGACGAAGAGGACCGATAAAGTCCATCGAGATGGACTGCCAACGACCATCAGGGATAGGAAGAGGCTGGAGCAAACCATAATGCAGGTGGTTCGCACTGTTCACCTCCTGATAGGTGGGACAATCTGCGACGTAGTCCTTCACAAAGTCCTTGCGCTTCGGCCAGACGTACAGGCGGCTCACACGAGCCAACGTCTTGTGGAAGCCCATATAACCGGTGGCTGCCTGGTCATGGAACTCTGCTACTGCTCGGACACGTAGCTGTCCAGTGGAGGGAACGCAAATACGGGGCTCTCTGGTGCCTTGTGAACCGTGCCAGTACACAAAACCATTCTCCCCGAGAGAGTAGTTCCGGACGGTCTTGCCACTCCGAAGGGTCGCGTGGATGTCGCGATAGTCGGGGCAGTGGCGGTACTTAGTGCGAAACTCGTCGATCACCGAGTGGTGGACGGTGGTGACCAAGATGGAAGAGAGTTGGATCTGCTCCTGGTCGTGGTCAGGGCGCCGGGATAAGGCATCTACGACCCGATTAGTCTCACCCTTTATGTGCTCAGTGGTGAAACTAAACTTAGAGGTCGCGCCACCAGCGAGTCTGTCGAGGAGTGAGCTTCGGTTTTGTCAGAAAAGCCTGGACAACAGAGTTGTCCGTACGCACCGTGAACGGTGCCCCGTGCAGGTAGTGACGCCAGTGCCGAGCGGCCTAAACTACTGCGAGAACCTCACGTTCATCAGCGGTGTAGTTTATCTCGGCGAGCAGGAGCTGACGGGAGTATAAGGCTATCGGACAATCACCTGAGCGAGACTCGACAGTGCCGTCTTCGGCGATGATAGGAGAATAGTCAATAGAAGGCTCGTCAGTAGCTGGACGAGTAGGCATCAGTCGGGAAGCAGTGGTAGGGGTAGGTGGTGGGAAGCGAGGGATACGAGGGTGAGAGGAATCAGGAGAGGAGGGGAAGACCTGAGAAAGCACTGCTCCAACAACAAAGTCTGACGCATCGGTGGTAAGGATAAAAGGGAGACCAAAATCGGGTAGGTGAAGAACCGGTGCACATGTCACCTCCTTCTTGAGGGCGCGGAAGGCGTCCTCGTGGAGGGGTGTCCAAGCCCAGGGTGGGTTCTTCCGGAGGAGGGTGGAGGTAAGGACGTAGGAATACCTAGCGTATCCCTGGATGAAATTACTATAGTAGCTGGTTAGGCCTAGAAAGTTGCGAAGCTGCTTGGCGGATGTGGGAGTTGGCCACTCCCCAATAGCAGTGATCTTCGCGTAGTCCATGTGGAGACCCTGGTCAGACACATAGTGTCCTAAGAAATCCACTTTGTGCTGGGCAAAGCAACACTTGCTCAACTTGGCGTAGAAGCGATGTTTGTGCAAGCGGTCAAGGACGACGCGGAGGTGTCTGATGTGCTCTTCAAGGGTACAACTGTAGACCAGGATATCGTCGAGGTAGACCAGAACATACTGCTCCAGGATGTCCATGAAGATGTCGTTCATTGCCCTCTGGAAGGTAGCGGGTGCGATGGTGAGGCCGAATGACATCACCGTAAACTCATAGTGGCCGAAACGCGATCGGAACCCGGTCTTCGGCTGGTCGGCTGCAGCGACACGGATCTGATGGTAACCGCTACGAAGATCAATCTTCGTAAAGAAGCGGTTGCCTGCTAGGCCGTCGAACAACTCATCGGAACGAGGCATGGGGTAGCTGTTCTTAACCGTGTAGCGGTTGAGACTTCGGTAGTCGATGCAGAGACGAAGAGTTCCATCCACTTTGCGAGCAAAGAGGACGGGTGCACCCCACGGGGAGTTGCTGGGTTTAATGAAACCCAGTCTCAAGAGCTCCTCAAGCTGACGCTCGAGTTCGGTGGCCTCGGGGATCGAGAGTCTATAGGGTGCCTGTTGGTGAACGCGATAGTGAGGCACAAGCTGGATGGAGTGCTCGACGTCGTGCATCGGTGGGATGCCAGCGTAAGAGAACGACGATGGGAACACGTCGTGGTACTCTCGAATGAGGTCACGAACTGTAGGCTCCAAGCCGTCCGTATAGCGTGCGAGTTCCTCAACGTCAGCGTCGGCGCGCGACAGCGGGGTGGACGCGACGGACTGCGGAGGGTGGGAAGTAGAGATGAGAGCCATGAAGATAGAAGGAGGATCTGGCTCCAGAGGGATGAGCTCGGCGTCGGGACAGGGTGGATCGTAGTGTAAGAGATCCGTCACGTTCACCATAAAGAAGGTGACGTCAACCTGTCGGATGAAGTGGGTGAACTGTCGAGGTGAGGTGACAGTGATAGAAGGAGATGGTGTGGGCGCAGAAGGCTCCGAGGGAGGAGGATCGGGGCGTGGTGTCGCAATAGTACCTATGAAAGGTACGCGATACGTCTATCCACACTTCGTTTAGAGAACGAGAGTGTTGGTCGCCCAATCGGCCTCGGTGCTGCGGAACCGATGAGACCATGGAGTGCCGATAATGAAGTCGTACCCCGTCTCCATCACATTGAAATGTGCAGAGGAGCGGTGGCGACGAGACGCCGGGGGACGATCAGTCGGCTCGAGAATGAGGAAGAAAGGGAGGTCAATGACCGTCTGATCGAAGAAGCGCTGGGTCTTGTCATCCCCTAGGCTGACAGAGATGGGAGTCGAAGACCCCGTCGTGGGTAAGCGGGCTTCTTTCACCACACGTGGGTGGATGAAGTGGCCCTGAGAACCGGAATCCCACAACGCTGAGTACACCCTCGTGGAGGTCCCGAGTCATACTAAAATGATCGGGAGGGTGCAATCAGGGTCAGAGAGGATGGCGAGGAGGCGACTCAGAGTGGCGACATGGAAGGTGAGTCGCTCCTGACGAGCCTGGAGCATGCTCAAGTCCAGAAGAGAGGACACAACGTCCTCGCGAGTCGCAAGCTGCTCGCTGCAACGGGCTGAGCGAAGGGCTCGACGCGTCGGTAGTCGCGGCGGGGAAGGAGGGGGGACGGTGGTCTGTGGAGGCGCAAACGGTACTGCGACAGAGGGCTGAGTACACTCTGTCGNGGTGGTCTGTGGAGGCGCAAACGGTACTGCGACAGAGGGCTGAGTACACTCTGTCGGGTCCTGCGAGACCTCAACTCCAGTAGCGAGAGGGGCAAACCGTAACGGGGATGTCGGGAAGCCGACTACTGAGAAAGGCGCAGGTGTACACTGCACCGTGGCTAAGAGGCGCCGCGGGGATGCGAGGCGCCGGGGGGGGACGGAGCACGACGCTGGCGGGAGAGGTCGGCGTAGTGGCGGTCAAGGGCGATGGTGTAAGGGCACCGCGAGGAGGTGTGACCGTCCTGACGGCATCGCAAACATCCACGCCGACCCAGAATAGCCGCGCACTCTTCAGCGGAAAGAACACCGCGAGGAGGGACAAAGCCCTAAAGGAGGTCCTGCTGAGGGACCTCGGGGGGCGACGGGCCAGCGTGACCGGGGCGGCTGCGTGCTCAGGAGAGGGCGGAGAGGATGAGTTGGAGGCGCTCGGCCATAGGGAGAGTTGAGTCCTCCATGTGATATTGGACGGCCTCGCCGAGGTCGAGGTCGTCGCTATGGTCACCCTCTCGCAACAGCGGGGCACCAGCGTCCTGCTCACCATACTCGAGTGCGCTGAAGCGGCACACGAAGTGGCGGTCCTGCTACGTGGAATGGCGGGGGCGACCGCGGAAAAGGGAACGGCGCTAGGAAGTGTCGTGAGAGGAGGCGGTGTAGCTAGTACGCTGGGGCTGGGGGGAGGAGGCGGGGTGAAGACGGGTCCGCATCCGTTGATGGTCCCTGGCGGCCTCGTAAGCCTGCAGGGTCGATGTGAACTCGTACCGCCATAGCCCGGAGCGGTACTCGAGCGGAAGGCTGGCTAAGAAACGATCGATAAGGGCAACCTCGGGGAGGAACGCCACGTCACAAATGAGGCGGGCATCCTGAAAGACCTGGATGTGGCGATCCAGAGCGGCAACGCCACCAGAGCCGGCGTGTAGTGACGACACGCTCGAAGGCGTCAGTCACGTCATATCGGGCTCCGAAGCCATCCTCGAGAAACGCCTGGAAATCCACGAAGGTCAGAGTCCGACCCTCACGAAGGGAGTAAGCATAGAAATCCTCCCAGGCCTCGAAAGGACCGCCACGCAAGCGCGTGGAGAGGTGACCCACCCACGTGTCGGGTGTGGCGCCCATGAGTTGGAGCGTGCGGGTGGCAGCCTGCATCCACCGAGACACGCGTATGCTTGTACCGTCATACAAGGCAATGTCCGACAAGCGGATGAGTGGTGCGCCACCGTTTTGGCGGCGAGGGGATCGAGGAGCGGAGGCCTGTGCCACAACGGAGTAAGTCGGCGCAGGTCCTGGAGAAAGGGGCGCAGCTGACTGTGCGCCCGGGCCGCATGGGGGAGCGGCGGTGGCAACAGCAGCAGGCTGCGAGGGTGCTGCGGTAGAAGAGGTCGCAGCAACTGCGGGAGTAGGAAGAAGGTAGGATGGGGCTGGATAGGGTGCAGGGCGAGGAAAGCGAGCCTGCATGGGAGGAAGAGTAGAGAAGGTAGGGGGTGCGCTCGAGGGCGCGGCCACCTGTGAGGGTGGGGGTGGCTGAAGGCGTAAGAGGGCGAGGTCGGCCCGGAGCTGGGTAATCTCGTCCACGAGACCTCGAACGTAGGTCGAGCGAGGAGTGGCAGGAGGAAGAGTGGAGGAAGTGGACGCACAAGCGGCGCGGGGCATCCGAGAGGGGGAAGAGCCAGGTGGCGCTGCGGTCGTGCGAAGGGAAGGGAGAAGCGGGGCACCCGGAAAAGCTGAGACCATGGTAGCGAGTTGTGGTCCTGTGGCCGTTGTAGGGCCAAACCCCGGTAGACTTTCGAGCCTTAGTCGACCCCACTGCGGGTCCCAGGTGGCTCGGCCCGCCCGCACTCATGCTCAGGGCGCGGGCCATTCGTCCCAGGGTCACCCCCACCTAGTGCTTTGATATGGATGGGGGTGGACCATCGCGCGAGAGAGCTTTGACATTGGGGATGTAGCTCAGCCCTCACGCCGGGTGGTAGTCTCGCAGGTTGTTTTGGCAACGCTGATTTTTCTTTTTGATTCTTTGTTGTGTTCTCATGCAATTGCTCCTTCGAATACGCAGGCAATCAAAGGATTCTTTGAATGTTTCTCTTCTCTTGTGCGTAGGCTAAGCGTCATCCTTGGGCCACGCACCATTTCCCTAAGCATTGTAGCTATATGGCGTCATCGGGGGGGCGGCGGAGCCGTCCTCTCCCTCGCCTCTACGCATCCATCGGGTCTCACAAATTGCTTTCCTCCTTATTGGAGTAGCCCCCTTAGTCTTTTTGGGGTCCTCATATACATGCACATACAACATCACATTTTCGTGGGTACGATCGCACTCTCATTTACATTCCAAGTCCTCATGCGCAAAAGTCATTTCCATGGGTTGGTTCTATGTCAAGGGTCCCATAGCCCCTTTGTCCCTCTTCCCTTTCCCTCTTGATGCCCGGTTCCTCTTGCCCTTATCCCGCTCAAGGCATTTCTATCCATTACTTACCTGCACAATCTCACACAAACAAGAAGATTCATACAATCTCCCATTGGGGGTCAACACATAGCCCTTCCCACATGCCTATCCTTTCAAATTCTTTGGCTGCCCTTTATTCCCTCTTGTTGTTCAATCAGCCCATTCTCTTCTCATAGTCATGCAGTCAAGGAAATGGTTGAGTCAAACTGACCTCACTTTCAACTTATGCTTTCTTCCGGATTCCGCTTTTCTCCCACTTTTTTTTCAAACGTCCTTTCTCTTGCCTTCAAGGTGGCACAAGGGACCGGCTATCCTACCCTTGTCCTCTTTCTCCACCAAGTGAGGTCTAATTTCGTTCACCGTTCGTACCCTAGCAATGTTTCCAAGTGAGGGGGGGGAAGGGTTAGTCACATGCCAAGTGAGGGGAAGGGAGAGAGAGGGCCAGATGAAGATGCAAGAGAGAGAGGGGGAGAGAGAGGGAGAGAAAAGGCGAGGGGGAAAGGGAGAGAGGAAGAAAGAGAGGGAGAGAGAAGGAAGGGAAAGGGACAGGGGGAGAGCGAGAGAGGGAAGGAGAGAGAGAGAGAGAGAAAGAGAGAAGAGAGAAGGAAAGAGTCTTCTAGTCCTAATCAAATCATCACCCCGTAATAGCAGCCAAATGTCGGTCACCCATCCCATAGTGAAAGAGCAACTAAGTGGGAACCGGATCATCCACACATGTTTGAACTTCTGACAAAGAACTAGTGGAGTACATTCATACGAGTAGAAGAGCAATTGAGTGTGAATCGGAACATCAACACATGCTTGAGAGTGACAAAGTAAAGATTGAACTAGGGGAATACATTCATACGAGTAGAAGAGCAACTAGGTGTGATCCGGAACATCAACACATGCTTGAACGTGACAAAGTAAAGATTGAACTAGTGGAGCACACTCACATGAGTAGAAGAGCAACTAAGTGTGAACCGGAACATCAACACATGCTTGAACGTGACGAAGTAAAGATTGAACTAGTGGAGCACACTCACATGAGTAGAAGAGCAATTAAGTGCGAACCGGAACATCAACATATGCTTGAACATGACGAAGTAAAGATTGAACTAGTAGAACACACTCACATGAGTAGAAGAGCAACTAAGGGTGAACCGGAACATCAACACATGTTTGAACGTGACAAGGTAAAGATTGAACTAGTGGAATACATTCACATGAGTAGAAGGGCAACTAAGTGTGAACCGGAATATCAACATATGCTTGAACGTGATAAGGTAAGAATGAATTAGTGGAACACATGCACAAGAAGAAGAAACCAACTAAGTAAGAATCGGAACATCAACACATGCTTGAACTTGACAAAGTGAAGAATGAACTAGTGGAACACATGCACATGAAGGAGAGATCAACTAAGTAAGAATCGGAACATCAACACATGCTTGAACTTGACAAAGTGAAGAATGAGTTAGTGGAACACATGCACATGAAGGAGAGATCACCTAAGTAAGAACCGGAACATCAACACATGCTTGAACTTGACAAAGTGCACATCAAGAAGAAACCGACTAAGTAAGAATCGGCACATCAACACATGCTTG